AAAGTTTTACACACATACAGCACAGAATTCCTGTGACAACATGCTCTTTTCATTCCTTCCATACAAACGCCATGCTTTGTTAGTTTACATTAGACCCCAAAGTCTAATTTTTAGAAAATATTAATGGTATTCATAAAATACTTATGTGTGTGTGGTGTTATGTGCTGTCGAGTCAGATCCGACTCATAGCGACCCCTCCTTGGGTTTCCGAGGCACTATCACTACGGAAGTAGATTGCCCAGTCTTCCTTCCGAGGAGTGGCTGGTGGGTTTGAACCGCCAGCCTTCTGATTAGCAGTCAAGTGCCTTAGGCACTAGGCTATCAGAGCTCCTCATAAAATGCTTAACAAACCATTTTTTACTACTTATTAACCAGTTGTCAGCAAGTTAACTCTGACTCAAGGTTACCACACATATGTCCGAGGGTAACTGTGCCCCATAGGGTTTTCAATGGCTGATTCTGTGGAAGTGGATCACCAGGCCTTTCTTCTGAGGCCTCTCTGGGTGGACTCAAACCTTCATCCTTTCAATTAGCAGCCGAGCACATTAACTGTTAGCACCAACCAGGGACTCCTACTACTTAGTACCTTTTTCATATTTTATCACTATACATAACTGTACACACATTAATAAATTTTAACATTCCAGAAAACAAAGAGCTTAAAAACCTGGCACAGATTCAGTGGACTGACTGCACCAATTAAGAATGTGACCACCAACATCATCTGGTACCGGACTTCCACTTGAAGGAGCATCATGATTTGATATCAATGCTTAGAACCCACACAGAATTCTCTGACTGACAGGAAAGGCAGAAGTCCTGGGCACTGCATTCAGTTATGCAGAGATCAGCCATTTCTTAAGTGGCAAGTCAACTTACATTTCTTGATCTAAAGAATTTTAACCATAAAGTTCATCACCCTTGTTTCACTGCCAGTGAAAGGTTATCTAAAATTTTGTTCACGGAATAGTAAATTTTTAGATGTATGCCAAGTACATGTTATAAGGTCACACAACATTAAGAAAAATGAAGGTTTGATAACCAACAGATAAAGTATATTACATGTAAGACCCTTTTTCAGAAATTACTAATTTCCACAAAACCGAAGCACTGATCCAGCTATCAGCTTTGTGAATAATGAGCAACAAGCGCCGTATAAATGACCTTATCTGATAGAAGATGGCTGTAGTCAAGAAAATACTAGCACCCAAACTTAACTGGGGCCCATCACCATTACTGTGATGGGGATCAAACTTCCCAACAATAGAATATAACACTTGCTCACGCACCCTTAGCCAGAAAAATGTTGGTGAATTATTTGCCTTTTGTAGAATGTGTGTGCCTAGTATCACGATAGTAGTTACAGGCAAAAGGGACAAAAGGCTTTTCTCAACGTTTCAAACACTTGATTCTACAACTGCTTAAACATCCAGGTTCCTTGTTCCTGGGACAAATGATGATACTAAATTAACTCTATCTTTTTTCTTTGGTTTGTTGTATCTAAGGCAAATTTATCTCAGACCTGCAAATACTTTGCATTCTAGGTTCAAAATAAATTTGTTACTCTAATTAATACCAAGAAGAACACATATTTCATGCTCAGAGAAACTTGAGATAACCTTTAGTTTCCTCAGAGAA